TTTTGTACTTTGCCGTGTTCCGTTTTCGCCAATATTGTTTCTAATTTTTCGGCTTTGCTGCTATGCGCTAATTGCTGCCTTTTGTGGTGTATGGACGAGCGTATTTTTTGCTTCTATTTAATTTTCGGATGTGGGGCCAGGGAATTTCTTATGCGCTTGCGAAAAAGCGCTGAGTAATATTTTAGTTAAATTTAAAAAAAAAATTAATTTAACTAATTTTACAATTAAATTAATAAAAAAATTCAATTAAATCAGATACATTTTTAATAAATAAATTTAAAAAAAAAACAATTAATTGAAAAATTAATTGATTTTTTTTTATTGCAAAATAGTTATTAAAAATTGTAAATTTAATTGCAATCTTTTGGGATTAAAAATTTAAAATTTAATTAAATTAAAAGTTAATAATATAATATTACTTTTTAGTCAAAAATTGGTGTAACAAATAAAAAAAATATTTTTTTCAAAATCAAAAGCTGAAATGAAAAGCAATAAAAAACATACATATTTCTAATTAACTAATTTTCACGGACGGACGAAAATATTATTGTTGTTCTTGTGGTGTCATCTCTCAAATATGTATATTGTTTTGAAGACTGCTGCCGCTTTAACAGTGTGCCGAGTGTTAGCCAAATAAAAATCGGAGACCGTTTCGGACGAAGGAAGCCGCCGCGATTTTTGCTGCTCTGAAAGACAGTTATGACACTGCTGTGTTGAATTGATGAATCAATACATCAATACTAGTCTGAAACTCGAGACTACTATAAATCCGAACCGATTTACTGGTGATATTATATGAAAAATGTTTAATAAGAAGACATGCCCGGAAGTGAGTCACGCTCTGCAGACTGTAAGACCGAGTTTATGCGTCATTTAGTTTGTATGCTTTCAGTAAGCGAGTGAATAGAGTGTTTTTTCCCTACACGGAGCATCCTTATTTCAATTTCCAAACGTGCAGAAGCTAAAAATTTTAGATTCTACAAATGTTTGTCCTTCGAGAAAACAATGACAGAGCCTACAAGTATTTCGGACATCAAAAATTGCCGCATAAACTTAACGGCTACTCGAGGGACGAAAACTTGCGATAAACAACATTTATTGAAAATTATTTAAAGGTACAACAGTGTGCAGTGGCCACTCACTTCTTTCTAAAGTCTAAAATAATTACATTTTTAAAGCTTGAAAAGGTATAAAAAGAGCTTTATCTTAAGTCTGATCGGCCAGTTTGTATGACAGCTATGTGCTATAGTGATCCAATCTGAACAATTTGTTCGGAAAATATAACGATGCTTTAGATAACAAGCTATGCCAAATTTCGTGAAGATTTCTTTGTCAAATAAAAAAGTTTTCCATGCAAGGACTTGAGTTGGAACGGTCAGTTTATATGGCATATATATGCTATATTAATCGTATCACAAAACAAAAAATTATGTTACACGCATAATGTGATAAACTAAATAAATATACTCGTATATGGCGTCAGGTGCATTTGCGCTTATTACTCTACTTCCTACACTTTATCACATTTCCAGCATTCTTCGAATTCCACTGCAAGCTACTAGAATATATATAGACACACACACATGAATTGAGTGCATAAAACTTCACTCGCTTTTCACTTTTGTCATATCTCTTCGTACTCGTAAAGTAATTTTCCATTTCTTTAATTTTAATCGTATTCTATTTTCTCTTTTATCGCATTCGTATCGCCAGTCATCGTTCTGTTTGCCTACAATGACACATAGCAAATTGTTGGGGCCCTTCTAATCGTCTGATCGTCTGGCTTCAACTCTCTCGCGCGTAGTTCTCACACTTTATCATTTCAAATTCGTGCGCAACACTCTTACGAAATATTACAACACTTTTCCTTCTCTTTTACCTTATCTGTGCTTTCGCATTTTTTATATTTATTGTTGCTTGTTTTTTTCGTTTGTTAATTTTTACTTGTAAGCGCTTATCTTGAGAGTCATGTAATTCTTGTCGCCTTATGCCACTCATATTCCCGCAGTTCATTGAATAATTTGACTTTCTCGTCTGTATCTACGTATATTTGTGTGTGTATTTGTTTACAAGTACATTCCATTACAATGACGTAATGTTGTACTTTGGGCAGTACATTCATTCATCGTCCAATAATATAATTTTTTGTATTAAACAAAGATCTCTTGAAGTGATGAAATGAACAGATGTGCGATTTGTAACTAAAATGTGATTAATTAGCGATCTGCTCTACTAAGTAAGTACAATGACTTATAGTTCCTTAATATTTTAATTCATTACGAAGCTCATAAAACCAAGGTTTCCAAATATTCCACTACTGTAACCAACATATCCAAGGACAGTAGAATAAGAGATCTGGAATTTTCTCTCTACTAAAAAAGCTTTTGTTTAATTAAACGCTGCGATATTCTACTATCATCCTATCCCATTATAGAGCTTAGATCTACAAATGATCGAAAAAAGTTATGACAAAGACGCCTGTTCAGTGTCCTTTACTGATTAGAAACTTTCGCTCTCTTAGAACTCATTGCTTTCGTTGATTTTACCATACAATTCCACAATATATATCATAACGTTAATCCTTAAACAATGTTCTAAACTAGCGGAGCGTTGACATCGTTGAACAATAACTTCAACTTTCTCACATTAACTGTAGTGGTCAACTGTTATCCTAACTACCACAATCGTGAAAGAAAGAAAAGCTGAGTTGTGCGTCCAACAAAAGTACGAAGCTTAAGATTTGAATGTCACAGATTTTTGATCTTTTAAGATTTACTCAATATTAAGAGGCATTCCTGCAGTAAGGCTAAAATCCAGTCGGACGCAAATTGTCAAAGTTGTATGGAAGAAGATGAGGTGCAAAAATCCAGGCACTTTCTCCTCCATTGTTCAGTTTGAAATATCTCTGCAGTCATACCTTTGGCGTACCAGCAGACATAGCCGAAACTGACATTGCAACTGCACCTTGGAAGATTTAGGCCTCAGCCGCTTGAGACTATTAGAAAGCTACCGGCTTCCACGAATCTCAATCTACCAATTTAGGCTGGAAGATACTTAAAAATTACATAAAATCCACTGAGTTGTTAAAGGTGGCATTGTTGGGTCTTTCTTCGGAGTACATTATTCCTAAGATCTTAAGTGCCGTTACACTTTCAACTAACCAATACAGAGTGAATCGCAGTTCAATGAGAGCTCGAGAAATTTGGTTTACACTACTAAAAACTTTCTCCAATTATATGAAACAACTAATGAAATTTTTAGAACCGTCCCAAAAATGATCTCGGCTGCGAAACAACGCAACTAAAGAGTTCAGATATCCCAAATACACACCAAACTTTTTCAGTCATGGTTGGCAAAGTTCACAGCGAACTTTTGCACATCGCACGAAGAAGCATATCGTCTGTGCCATTTGACAAAATTCTCACATACTTCAGTCTGGTTGAAATAAAATGCTTTAGTCCTTCTGAGGATACAAAGGGATGCTTCTTTTTCGTAAAAACTCAGAAAATACAATGAAACCATATTTTAAGGCATTGCCGTTAAAATGCTAATTAAATTTTAGGCAGCTTAATAAAAAAGAAGACAATAGTGTCAAAGCTGATCACAGCTTCCTGCAATCGAGAACAAACCCCTACACAAAAATGTAGTCGAACCAGTAGCTTGTGCTTCAAAGGCATACTGGACGCGCATGTCCTTCAAAAATTCACAGAAAGTTGCTATTCACATGGTTCTCATGACTCCAGCGTGTCTTATAACAAAAGGACGATCTTGTCCGAACTTCTGAAAAATAAAATGCAGAAAATACCGGACAATAGGATGCCCCACAAAATTTTATATCATCCGAAAGCCAAACAAAAGCCGAAAAGCTGTCACACAATGATTTCAACTATGATTTAAATAATGAAAAGGGGTGCAAACTATTAGCCTAGTATCCGCTCCATTTCATTGCGAAGGCCAACGGTCACTCTGGGGAGAGAACTAGTTTCGACCACAATTGTAACATTATGCTAACGCTATACATTCTAAGATGTTTGCCGAACAAGTAAGACAGCATAACGGTATTAGCATAGTTGCTTTACGACAAAGAATAATAGAAATTATGCGTGTCTATGCGAGTCGACGTTGCGGACTGTCCACTAACAGAAAAAGTGGAGTGACCATGCGGTGGAAGAAACGATACTTGCGAAACAGGTCGGTTAGCGAAGGTTGAGAAGTATAAAATATCCAGCAATTCTCAGCTTTTTTAAGATCTTGACAAGTACGCTGGACATTTGAGATTTTCAATTAAAATTGTATGCTTTGAAAACTGGTCTAGATTAGGTTGCGTCGGCTGTCACTGATTAAAGGAAGCTGTGTGGTCAGCTGCCGGACAAATATAGCAGATCTACACACAACTGCTCGTGCAGCTGCTAAATTTTGTGCAATGAATTTGGCAGTTTCCGATAAGGTTGCTTTTCCAGTTACCAAGAAAGCTGTCTTCAGCTCACGAAAGGAAGCGCATACGTATATAATTAGCTTATAATTTTCTATTTTAATGCAAATTTACGCAGGCAGCTGTGGAAAGTCGAAAGGTAATATAAAAACGGTATAAATATCCAAAGAGTTCGGATCATGCGAATGTCGTATTGGTTTTTTATATTCGTATTGTAACCTCCACTATATTGTAGATAACTTTCAGAAACGGTGCTGTTGGCTGACCGAAGTAGTGCTGAAAATTTTACACCGTGAGAGTATAAAGAAAGTGAAATCGTCTGATAATCACTGTTGCATAACTGATCTGCGTTGAGTTGTTCGAGCTAACACGGTCGCATTGTAGGTGAGATCTCTCCAAACCATATAGCGAGCTAGCGATACTACAGATTGATCAGCGATAGCAGCAAAGCCTTGCTCAAAGCAGGAGAATATAATCAACTGACTTAAATTGTATAAATATCAATCAGAATAGTAGAATATATACAACTTAAAATAACTTATTATAAATTAATTTATAATAAACTTACCTTAAAAATCGGATACAGACCACCTCACAAAGACTTGCATTCGCAAAAGCTGGCATGCAGTAATCATCGCCAATCTTGAGGAATGTGGACTTGTGGATCGATGTGAAGACTTTCCTTCCAGTGTATTGAAGAGCTCCAAAATAACGGTATTTTATATTAAGTAATTAAGAGCATATTGAGTAATTAAATCGCAGCAGAAACAAATTAACGTAAGAACTACCTCAGACGCACAACGATGTAAGCTTCGAGAAAAAGCTCAATGACGGCGGAGGTCCGTAAACCATTTTTGGTAATATAATGCGCTTAAAGCTCCAAGCTCCAATTGTAGTGTAGCGATCATACAACGACTTTCTGCGATTTCTGTCCAGTGCAACTAAACGGTGGTGAGTCTGCGGTATACTGCAAAAGTAGTCACCCTGTAATTAAATATTATATTGATATAAGTAAGTTTTCGTTTAAGACAAAAACATGAAACTTGATTCTGCAAAATAATTACAAATTAGAAAAAAAACAATTTAAGTTTTTTCAAAATACAATACTTTAAAATATTTTTTTTCAATATTAATTAATAATTATTTTTGATATTGAAAACAAGTTTTTTTTATTTCTTTTTTTTTATATATAATATTTGAAATTTTTATTTTTTTATATACGATTTTTATTATAATTTTAATGTTTTTTAAATATGTTCTTTAATTTCTTTTTTTATTTTTGTTTGTCTCTTTTGATATATAATATGTTATTAATATAATTTATTGTAATATTATTAATATTTCCAATTTTTTTTTGTATCGTTTTCAGTAGAATAAATGCTACTACAATAATTTTTTTTTGTTTTATTTTTTTGTATTTTTTATATGTTGTATATGTTTTATTTGTTGTATTTTTATTATTATTTTATCTCTTACGGTAAATTATCTTCTTATTTTTGTAATTTTTCCTTTTTTTTTTGTTCGGATTTATAAATATTTTTCGGTAAATTAAATGTTATTAATATTTTTTTGTTTTAATTTTTTTAATATTTTTTATATGTATGTATGTATATGTTTTATTTTTTGTATTTTTATTATTATTTTTTATATCTTTAGGGAAATTAAGTGTTACTAATATTTTTAATTCTTATTTCTTTAATTTTTCTTTATTTTTTGTTTGGATTTATAAATATTTTTCGGTAAATTAAAAGTTATTAATATATATTTTTTTAATTTTTTATATTTTTTATATGTTTTGTATTCTTTATATGTTATGTTACATTTTTTTATTTTTCTAATTATTTTTTATTTATCTTATTTTTTAATATTATATTTCTTTTGGATTATTAAACATTTAAATAAATTAAATGCTATTAATATTTTTTAAACATTTTTTATACTTTCTATATGTATACATGTTTCATTTTTTGAAATTTTGAATTATTTTTTATCTCTTTCGGTAAATTAAAAGTTATTAATATGTTATTTTATATTTTATTAATTTTTTTTTTTGGAATTTTGAATATTTTTCATATTTTTCGGTAAATTAAATGCTATTTATATTTCTTTTATATTTTCTTTATAAGTACATATTTGTTCTATCTTTGAATTTTTTATTATTTATTATTTATTATATTAATATTAAGGAGATAACTTTTTGAATATTTTTAATATTAGTTTTTTTTCGAATTATATTATGAGTTGGGTATTTTTTCTTTTTCGGTAAATTAAATGTTATTAATATTTTTTGGTTCGAATTTTTTTATAATTTTTGTATGTATATGTTCTTTTTTTTAGATTTTTATATTATTTTTTATATTTGTCGGTAAATTATATACTATTGATATTTTTTTTTTAATATAATTTTTTTTATATTGTATATGTGCTATTTTAAATTTTTTTTTATTATTTCTTATCGTTTTCGGTAAATTAAATATTATTATTAAGTTTTTTTTTTGATTTTTCTTGTTATTTTTTATCTCTTTCAGTTATTAATAATTTTTTTATATATATTTTTATCACTTATTACACTCTGTATGAATACCGCCAATGTTACTACAAGTCTACTAGCCTGAAAGTATACAATATTTGCCATAGCATACTGTTATCAGCCAAAGCGCTTAACCCAGCTGTAATTTGGTACCGGAAAAAACTTGAAAATTTATTATTCTTATTTCTTTGTGTTTAGTAATTAAAACTTACAAAAATTAAGAAAAAGTAAATATGTACAGCAAAATGTTTAAGGAATATTTAATTTATATAAAACAATTTGGCAGCTGGCAAAGCAGTAACAAGCACTACTCTGCCTTGCCGACAACGAAACCCATCGGAAATTCCTCCAACGCGCACATGCTGCCACAGTATTAACTAACAACAGCGCCGACAATGTGGCAACACTGTCGCTACTTGTCATTAAAACTAATCAATTCCCGCTCACTTGCACACCCCTGCACGCCCACATACGGCACATTAGCGTGACATTAGCCAGCGCAGCGAACGGTATCAGCGAAAATAGCTGAAGCCACAACCAGCAGTTTGTTCTTTTTCCTAGTCAGTTGACGTTTGGTCGAACCGTGTGGTCGCTCCGGTCTAACAGTTCCAATACTAGGCAGTAAGTTTAGTTAGTCAATCAGTCAGTCCGTTTGGTAAACTCATCAAGTGCGATTGCTGTGCTTGTGCTGTGTGCGGTTGAGTGGCAGTGCAAAATCCGCTTCCTTACATACATACAAAATATACATAATACATATATACAAACTGCTATAGCGTGAGCGCACACAATTTGTAAGCATTGTGTTAAAAAATACATATATTCAAGCACAAAAAAATAAAAATTTGGAAATTTTGTGAATATAAGCGCGTGTGCGGCATAAACTTCTTTCTTTTAAATAATTTTGAGCGATTAGCAAGTATTAATAAGAAAATTAAGAATTAGAGGAGATTTTTCCTGTAGCAATTTTTGTTGTTGTTAGTTACGTTTACAAGGATTTTTTTTACTGATTTTCTGTTTTACTTTCTTCTTTTAACAAAAGAGTTAAGATTTACACGCCGCTGCTGACACATTTCAATTAAACGTGAAAAATGTCGATTTATCGTATTTCAACGCGTAAGTTGCCCGAAGCGCAGGTAAGTAACAAATATATAAGAATAAAACTACAATTACGGTATAGTTAAATATGTGTAAGAAGAGAAAAATGCTTAAACTTTGTTAAAATTATTTTTAAACAAAAATTTTAATTATTGTAGAAAAATAGTAAAAATGCCAAATTAAAGCGAAGTCAAAAGCGCAGCGGCAGCAGTCAACGTCGACGCCAGCAACATGGCAGCGGTAAAACCTATTTGCTAGGTGGCACATGGACGCAAAAGTTATTTTTTATATAGACCGTGCGTGTGTACGTGACTGCTGGTCTTTGTAATGCTGCACTTACCTGTATTAAGAAAATTAGAAAATATGTAAAAGAATTAAAGAAATTAATTTTTAATTTTAAAGGTAGTGAATGTAGTGAATTTAGTACACGCGGTAAGCAGCGCGATTTACATAACACGTTGTAAGGAAAATTTTCATTGCTGAAGCAGCAGCAGCAGACTGAGAAACAGACAGACAAACTGCGCTAACAGCTAGAAAATCCGCTTTTCACAAATGGCAGAAGAATTGCAATATATTTTTATTTCATTTTAAATTGGAAATGTTGTGTTGTATGATTTGTTAAATCTATGTGCGAGCGTTAGCGCTAATGAACATGGCCACATGACGTAAGGCTGCAGGCAAGGTGCTGGCAGCGCGGTTTAGCAGCGCTAAGCATAACGTTGGCATACATACATTGCTTTTCGTTCTCGAACATTTTTGCATGTTATATATTTTTTAACGGTGAATATGAAAAAACGGACGGTAAAAATTAGAAAAAAACAAAACCAAAAAAATTAAATAAATAAAATAGAATTAGAGGACAAGGCCAAATAATAGCATAAATAGCTGTAGTACTCAAAAATGACAAAATAATACGGTGTCTTAAGTCACAAGACATTTGACGAATTATTTTACAGTTTCCTTTCACTATTTACGTTTTGCTTTTGAGCTCGTTTTATTCACTAAATTTTATTGATTTTTTAATACATATATGTTAATACTTTAACTTTTTAATAATTATTATTTATTTATTTTGTAATATTTATTATTTTTTATTTCTGTTTAAAATCATTTATTTAAATAATTTAATTTATATTTTCTTAATATACTTAAAGTAACAAATTTTTAATTTTATTTATGTAATTTATTTAAACCTTTATTTTAGAATCTTCATGTTATTTTTTTTTAATATATATGTATATACATATATTGAATTAAAAATATTTTATTAATTATTTATTAAATTCGTATGTTATTGCATACTTTTACCACATATTAGTTACATAAAATTTTATAATCTGTTTTCTTTTTTGTTATTAAATAATATTTATGCCAACCATTCAATTTCAACCCCACAAAGCGCTAACGTCGGCGTCTGCGCCAGCAACCTTTGCGCTGATATATTATTCTTCATGTCAAGAGCTTACAATCAATACAGTCACATGGTTGTTGTTCAAATAAATGAATTTGTATTGGCATACTTTTGCTTTTGCAGAATTTAGCACAAAAGTAAAAATCTTTCATAATTTTCTTTTTGCATTTTTGTTTTTTTGCAAAAAAAATATGAGTAGTTTGCGCTCCGTCTTAAGCGAAATTTTCCCACGTAAATACGAGTACAAAACGCTGCCTCTGTCGTTGTCGCAGTCGCTGCTACTATGGCTGTAATCGGAAGCAGCGCGCTCTAATCGAATCATTATGCCCGCTATACCAGCACTCTATTTGCTTAAATTTTATTCATTTTCTTACTTTATTTATGCTTTATTTCGTTCTTCGCATTTTAATTAATCAATTTTAATTTTTCTTAATTCAAAATTCACAAAAAACTTTGATAACTGCAAATCGCAAAGAAACGCTACGCCGCTCGTACGCACTCCCACTAGCGCTCAATTGCGCTCTCCAACCACTTTACAACAAATATTGTATTGCAGGCGCGAGTAGAACTTCCGCTTTCGAGAGTATCTACTTCAGCGCTCTCGCTTGTTTACAAGTGCAACAAAAAACATTGCAAAATAATAATGCAAAAAAACTCCGTGGGAAAATAATATTTACAGCACACAACAACAACAAATGGCAAGTGCTCTGCTTGCATTAGTGAAAAACCGATACTATTGCGCGAACTCGTGATTAAGCAGCATACAAACAAAATTTATAAAATAATAAACGTATATAAAAAGCAAACAAAAAGCCAGAAACCGAGTGCGCTCGTCATTGTTGGTTGTCTGGCTGGCGCGATATCGCTGTGCTGGTCGTGGACAGCGACGCAATGGCTGCGTAAAAAGCAAGCAAGAAATTTTCTTGACATTACATAATGCTGCTTGTGTGAAAGCAGCATTCTATTATGCAAAGACAATTGCTAGTGGAAAAATTTTATGTTTATAATTAAATTTATTATTTTTTTGGCAATAGTATACTCGTAGAGTAGAAATGATTGTTATCGATAAAAAATCACACCACTTTATTACGTCAAAATGATTAGCAGATCGAAACATGTATGCAAGTGTAGGTATTATATGTTATATATACATACTTACATATTATTAAAAAAATAGCATAATAAATTAAAATTAATTTTAAATTATATATTATAACTTTTTTCGTGCAAATATTATTTAGGCCATTAAATAATAGAAATAACATAATTATTGCTTGACAATTGCCGAATTAAATATTGCCACGCCACACTTCGACTTTTTTATCATTCTACTTATTTAACTTAACGGCCGCGCCTACACAGTATTGCCGTATATTATTGCCTGCATAAAAACTTTCAAGCTCATTGCGGTCGATTATGAGTAGAATGAAGTGATAAGATTATATACTATTATTATTAAACAAGTATGTTACAAAGGTGTGCGTATTTATACACATTTATGTACATATGTGTGTATGTATGTACGTATGTCTGAGTATGTACATAGAAAAAATTTACGTTACATAACCGCCGTCGTACTAGGTGCGATTTTTCCCCAAAGCACTCACTCTGGGCTATTGGCTCGTGCGCAATGCTAATACGAGTGCTAATTTTCAAAGAAAAATACGTACATACGTATGTATCTCTGTTTATATTTGTTGCTAATGGGAAGTTCTATAGTATTATTTGTTTTGTTTTGTGCATTAAATGACTGCGTATATCTTTTATCTTTGTATGCATTCTTATCTACCAAAACTGATAGGTGGCTGCCTTTCTTGAGTCTATTGACATTTGTTTTTGTTGCAATATTATTTTAAGTATTAAATATTTAAAAATCCGACATAAACTCGTGTCACATGCCAATTTTACACGAAACTCATTTTTTAATATTTTTTAATCATTTTTAATCGGTTTTCGATAAGTGGCATAAACACCGGGCTATACTCTGTTTAGAGCTTAAATTTTTTTATTCAAAAGTCTATGGTACTAGAAATTGTTTAATTAAGGATGTTTTAATAAATATTTTTACGCAATAAATTTAATTCGAAATGTTAAGAACCGCTTTTATTAACAATTCATTAACAACTTTAACGCTTTATGACTTTTTTTTCTTACTTTTTCCCAAACCTTGTTTAATCTTTTAGTTGAATTACATTTTTATTTACTTATTGTTTGTTTTACAACAACAAGTTCATTGTCTTCTATTAGCATCGGTCACCGCCACGCAGTGAAATCCTACAGCGCACGAGTCGTTAAACTCTATACACGTGCTTTACCCAATTTTCTACTCCTACTACGTTTAATAGCGAATAAATGCGTAGCATGCTGGAGGCTCGTCCTTTGGAACGCAGCTCAAATATTTCCAGCACCAGACATGAGTGTGAGCACACTGCTCTTATTTATCTTTCATCGGCTTTTCGACTCGGTTTTTTTTGTTTTAGTTTTCGCATGCTATTTTTGTTCGCTGCGTGACCTTTCCCTCTCCTTTGTGGGCGTATACGCGTTATATGCCATGAAAGTAGAGTAACATTATTTTATGACGTTTGTATTGATAACGCTGACGTTTGGGTGTAGTTATAATAAAAAATATATAAATAAATATCTATAAACGGATAATGCTTTCGTTTTATCAAAAATTCGTTATGCATTAAATTTTTTTTCTAATATAAATTATTTTAAGTATATTTTATGTTTTGAAAAAATATTTATATTTTGCTCTTTCGTAATGGGGTTTCCAGCATTTTTCTAAATTTTCCAAACACATTTAGTTTATTCCATTTTGTATTAATATTTATCATTTCGACACCGCATATGAGCTTGCATTTCATCGTGCTACAAGTCGATAATTAGTCGCGTATTTTCACCGACATTTATTATGGCAAAAGTAAATAATTATCGAAAAATTTAAAAACAAATGCAATTACACTTGTGTAAATACTTGACGTTGCGATTAATGACACTGACAATGCGAGAAGCAATAAAAAAAAAAACGGCGCGCACTCATAAAAAATGTGATTGGGGCTGCGCTCACAATAAAAATAAAAAAAGTTATTAACCTTCGAAAATTTATTGCTACAGCAATAAATAAATACTTCCCATTTATTTACATTTCTTGATTACAAAATTATATATGTTTAATACATATATAATTTGCGAATTTCCCAAAAAAAACAAGAAAATAAAAAAAGAAAATATGTATGCTTTTTTATACTGCGGAGTTCAATAAAGTATCAAAAGTGTAACCTTGAAAGGCGCAGGCATAATATGACATCTTGGGAAAGAAAATTACACAAATACATTTGGAATTGTATGCTAAAAATATAACTCAAATTAAAATAAATAACAGCAACAACAAATTTGGGCAACTGCCAAATGCGTAAATGTAAGAACACGTATGTGTTGCTTTACATATTTTATTAAAAAAAAAAATGTATTGCTTTTTGTTATGCAAATAATTCACCGCTGCAAATGCTGCAAAAAGGCAGCAATTGCTAAAAAAAAATATTTTTAGCTAAAAAGAATTATTGGTTACAAAATTTAATTGTTTATTAGTTGTTAAAAAATATTATTTGGTTAAAATTAAATTTT